GGGGGGGGGGGGGGGGGGGGGGGGGAATCCAAAAACGACAATCATATCTAAAAGCCTTCAAGACATGCATCGTGAATTTACTGATTTGCTCCCTTCAGATATCGACCGTTCTCGTGTGGTAGGACTCACGCTGTGGGAATGCCGGCCGATGGGCCGGTTCGCTATATCCATCTGTTGTATAACTAAGCGTTTGATCGCAGTTTGTCCCCTTTAGTCGTACAGTGTTTCGACTCGAAGAAAGGAAGGAGTAGTGTTGGATGTCTGTAAGGCAACCTGAATATATGAAGGAGAAGAGTCCGGCCCCAGCGGTAGCGATCCGACTGTTTTTGTCGGAAAGAAAATTAGCAAAAATAAAGGAAAAAACGAAAAAAGAAAAGAAAAGCACTAAGCAAATAGTGTTTCCGATCAATCGAAAGCGAGAGAAGCCAGTTGCGTGGTAAAATTAGTAGAAAAGCACCGGTCCGACCCACTCTCCAAGAATCTGGCTTCAAAGGTGCGCCTATCGCCTTATACTCAGAACCGTCACCGATCTCTCGAAATTCTCACTAGGGATGTTGTACGCTTATGCCAAAAGGTGTAAACATGGATATACCCTGCTTAATGATTTGTTTACCTGGACCTCTGTGTTTTGAAGTGATCATAATAATATAGTCTGTTGATAGCAGAGCAGGATCTGAAGTGAAGCAGAACAATATGGGACGTATTTGTCGGCGCAAAGTAGCTAATTCGCCCGGTCAAGCGCATAGCGAAAAATAAGCAGTCGGAAGAGTGAAGCAGTAAATAGTAGAATATCGCCAGAGCTGGTTTGCGGCACCTCTGCACCACACCAACGGGATTACATCTTTTTAGCGTTATTAGGTTCCCATGTACTATGTTAGCGTTGCTTCCCGTTTAAGCAGTAAGGCAAAAAAGCCGTTTCAAAAAGTTTGCTCAGGCCCTCCGCGTCTCTTCATGGCTAGGAAATTTCCTTCAGCGCACTGTAAGAACTTTTTCTTGGGTCCACCCCAGCCGGCAAGTGTGGAGAGATACATGAAATTCACCTTCCAGTTTGCAACGCACCCATTTTTGGAGCACCAAGCAGTGTACGCCAAAAACGGTCGCTTCACAAAAACGCGAGTTGCTACATTATGTGCGGCATGCACTTCGCCAACTTGCTGGTTCACGTGGTTGACGCGAGGTCTGAATGCAGTTGACAGTGTTGTTCATTGTTCAGTCAACCGCGTGAGTGCTAAGGCAATTGGAATTGGAAAAGAACAGTTGAAATAAACTCAGTATCTGATGATCTGCATCTCTTATCGGAACAGCTACCGATGGCTTTTGATCGACCTACTAAATATGCCCTTCGAGATGATTTCAGGTTAGGGAGTGAAATTACTGAATGCAATTCGGTCGTTGCTCTTCATCTTAAGAATCATCACTTTAAAAAAAAAATTCAAAAATTCAGCTGCTAAAGGCACAGTTCTCGATGTTTTTGAGGTACCACTTTTTATTCAAAAAGCGGAAGTGTAGAATCGGTAATGAAGAAAGCGAAAAAATCCCCCAATATCGAGAAAAAAGGCTCNAAAAAACATGGAAGGCCTGTCCGGACGAGATTTCAGTTGTTGCAGTCGTGCAAAGAGCAGACTACATCAAGCCAGAATTGTACAGAGACGCCTTTCACTGTTGCTATTTGCCACGACAAGTTACTTGAGCCTCCTACATAGGTTCCCTTGTGATCTGTGCAGCCTCTACAATGCCGGTGATAACTCCTCCAAGGATACACAGAGACAAACCTTAATCCTTTAAAACGCCCTAAGTAGGCCGTTTTCCGACATGATAGCGCTAGATGTGGTATACGAGGGTGCCTCGAACTCATTCTGTGGGGAAATCTCAGAAACCATTTTTATCGTGATCTTGCCTTTAAGTAAACAAAGACTTGAAACGTACTCACGAATGCTGTCAAACAATAATAACATCATTAGCAAATGTCGTTATCAATGAAACTTCTATTCTCAAAGTCTATATCATTGGTAGAGCATTCCAGATTATTGACGGGTCGGATAAGCTTTTTTTGCAGATGGTATCGTAACAAAGGGAGAGCGTTCATTAAACTACAAACCTTGCTGGGTAGCGCTCGCATTCTATCAGCAAGAAGTGGATCGAATTTCCATCTCTTCATAATGAAACGTCTTCACTCGGTCTCTACCACTGCATTTACCACTCACTTTTTGTCATCAGGCTCTACCACTCCGTCTTATCAAATGAAACATACTGGAGTGTTAAAGCTATCGTGAATTCCGAAGGCGTTAGGATTTTTACTGGTAGGCGGCTTTTGATCTCTGAGACCTTACTCTGCTTATTCTATGAGCAGATCTAGATGGACTTGTTTATTTCAAGGGATAATCAGGCTAACATTGCCTCCCTATCTAGCTTTACACCTACTGTCGTGAATATTTAGCAACGCAACCCTAGTGACATCTTTCAGAATAGAGCGTTGAGCGTCGGCTCTCTGTTGGCAACGTGGTCGTCGATCGATCCCGCAGGTCGGCAGAAAATAATTTCTCAATTTTTTTCTCTTTTATTTTCTTCTCTACATGGCGAAGTGGCGAAAGCACGTCATTATAGAAAAGCTCTACTCAGCTTTGCTTGAAAAATAGCTGCCTCAATGCAGATTCAGTGGCGCATGTGTTAGCGAGAGCTACAGGCACCACTGGTCGGAGCATCGAGCGCTCGACGCTTAACGCTCTACTTCTGAAGTGTTCAATGGGATTTTAGGGATGGCTGTTTTCAGCATAGATTAGTTTTCGATTCTCTTGTTCTTATGCAAATTTACTTCACGAAAAAGTCTTTTTATCCCTTGGGATTTCCATTAAGTATATAGACACATATAATTTCTAATGTGTTCATTCGTTACTCAACGGGGAGCTCAGTTTTCGTTCAAATTCTCTCAACGCATCGAAATATGACCTACAATTAGACAAGGTCAGAGGCGGGTGGTTGGATGGCTAGAAGGTCACATGGCCTTCTTCTCCTCCCTAGGGTTAACCCCGCGCCGTCGCAGGGTCCGCTGTAGAAGGTCACATGGTGCATTTTTGAAAACGGCGCTGCCAATTAATGCCACCTTCCAATTCTAAGACCTGTGCGCAGCCGCGAGGCGTCTGTAGAAGGCTCTTTGTATCTGTAGCACTCTTCAGGGGCTGATTTCACAGTCCACGATTTGGCGAGCGACCAATCGCTCGATCGGTCGAGGAGGCGGCGCTAGCCATGGGCGCCGCCAGGGATCGGTCGAGCGATCGGTTGCTCGCCAAATCGTGGACTATGAAAGCAGCCAGGGGATTCAAAGTGAAAAACATCGTTCCACTGCCACGGGTCATCTCGAGATGGTGTGCCGCGCGGTGTGGCCTCATCACAACGGCGATATAATGAAAGCGAGTTTTGTTGTTTCAGTCGTATGAGTCTAAGACGGAAATGAATGAATCTGCATATCATCCATCTGGGAAGTATCTGTACGTAGCTACGGGCCAAGGGAAAGTGGAGATATTCAAGTGAGTCGATTGATTTTGGTCGTGCTACATTTTTTGTACTTATGTGAAAAGAGATTGCGAGAAAGCGTAATGTGTAGAGAAGGTCGAAGGAGTCAAGTTTCGCATCTCAATCTTTTCCCGTTCTTTGCAACCCTGAAAGTTCCAATGCAATAGTGGATATGAAATGCACTCGCTGCTGCATTCGGCTACAACATCTCTGTGATTGAGATTTCTGTGATTACATAAGGTAAAAGTTGAAAAGCAAAAATGTGGCTTACTGATACATCTCACGTTTCTTATCCTTTGCGAGAATGAAAACGAGAAAAACTGATTGGTGTCCCTGTGAATGCATGCCTCAGCGTGCACATTAAATGCGCGAAAGCTTGACAACTTGAATTTGAGTCTTGCGATAGAAAATGAATGGTTCAACCCAAGTTCAGCAGGTTTTGTAACCTAGATGTCAACTGTAAGTAGAAGAAGATGAAAAGGATTTGAATGAGCTTGGTCATACTTCATCGTAAACTGCTATTGTATATACGGTGCAGTCTTAGCAAAGCCGTAACACTCCCCATAATTTCCTTGCCTTTTTTCGCTACCAATGCACTATTCTAAAGTAATACTTCCACTTTCCGGTGTGCAGGTGTTGGCTAAGCCGATTTTGGATGCTCTATTGTCCCTGTATAGGTTGTTTTTGGATTCAACAGGTCAGAGAGAGCCACAGGGTCATCCTAGAAAGAATTTTAAAAAACCATTTGTTTGAGGTGCTATTTTCAAGTTGACAAGTGGAAGTACTGGTTGATAATGGTGCGTCGCTGGCAAAAAATCGCAGGAATCCACCCATATTGTAAAAAGTAAGGCTTGCCAAAAGAGTGGAGATAGAGCTTGTACGAGCTTACAATAACGTAGATGACATGGAAGGGGTATTCGTACGAGATTTCAGTTGTTGCAGTTGCTCGAAGAGCTGACCACATTAGGCCAGAAAAATTGCCTTCAACCGCCGTCGTGGGTCACGATTAGTTGTTTAAAGTTCCAACATGGGTGGTCCTTAAGAGTGGTGCAACCTAAACAACCCGAGTAAATTTCGTACGCTCCAGGTTCCGTTTGCTTGGTTGTATGCCTTCCTCTTCTGTTGGCCCTTCACAATCCCACCCGGTCTCGTAAAGATCGTCATCTCTGTTCCAGTTTTTTGCACCAACTCTGCCGAATCGATTAGAGCGAAGCAACTGCCTACGTTTTTTTACGCTAACCATAGAGATTGCATAGGTAGATGTTTCACGTGGGAAAAGGTTTGCGATCTCCGTGCGAAGTTCTTTCGAGCCGTAATCCTTGACACATTCAAACATCGAGAGATGCCAGTCGTTTGAGATCCTTGACTACGTGATTTAAGGACAGAACAACGGTGGAATGACGTCTTCATCGTCCGAGAGAGATCTCGTGGTAGTTGGACAAGTTCGCAGTGAAGCAGATAAATGCAAGAAAAGAGAAAGTAGAGAAGAGTGATTTTCAGTATTCCAAGATAACACGCCCGAAAATTGTTTCCATAACCTGGCCTCACTGTGTGGACGGAGTTTCATGAGAAGCCTTTTGCAAATTCGGAACACTGTCACAATTCCTCACTATCTTACCGTTATATGGTATTACGCACCTTTAAAAGAGTAAGATTGGCTACAAGAGACATTTGACGGTTGGTACCCCTAGAGTTCATAGAAGTTTCACGGAATACAAGGCACCTTACCAGTCCACGTTCATCGGCTGACAAGGAATACTTTCAAAATTTTCATGAGGTTGGCGAGTTAGGGACAAAACTCTTTCCTCGGACCGGACGCGAGTACATGTACTTATGCTATCCAGGCACTTATGCTATTTACAAACCAGGCGGCTACGCACGCTCTCGCGCGCGCTAGGGGCTCTACCATGAGAGACGGAGCCGCATGAGCTGATTTTCATTATAGACCTTTATCGGATTTATGAGTTTCCGCTCAAACCTCGCCTCCTGTGGGCGGAGTACGGTTTTGCCACCCACCATAAGTTTCCCCATCACGGTGTCTGTACTCCTACCAAGTTTGAACTTTCTAGGTCCATGGGGACATGAGTTATGAATTTTCGCCCAAACCCCGCCCCTTGTGGGCGGAGTCTGGTCCTGCCACCCACCATAAGTGTTCCCACCATGGCACCTGCACTCCTACCAAGTTTGAACTTTCTAGTCCATGGGAACTGGAGTTATGGATTTTCGTATATAAATGTAAGAAGGGATGTGAGCTTCGAGGCACGCTCCGCCCATTGTGGGTGGGTCTCCGCTGAAGTCATTTATGCTGGAGATACCTCCGACAATGCTCCTCCCAAATCAACTTTTTCCTGCTCTGTTGGCTTTCTCCAAACCAAGTTATAAATGTTTTCATAAAACATTGCATTTTTGGAGAACGCCCCGCCCATCGGGGGTGGGCCTCCCCAGTTCGATCTAACTTGCCAATGCACACCTCAAGCCACCTTTAAACCCCAATTTTGAGGCCGTCTTGTGGCTGAATTTGAAATCATGGTCCTCGGTAGGGCTCATTTCGGGGCACGCCACGCCCATTGTGGGCGGGGCTCCGCCAAGCTGATATGTGTTTTATATTTCTCGAGACCTGGCCCACCCATCCCACACTTGACCCGGTCTCTCCAGGCAGATCTAAAGGAGCTAATGAATTTCGTGACAGACATACAGACAGACAGACAGACAGACAGACAGACAGACAGACAGACGCGCTTTATAGTAAGGCACGTGGTGATGATGCACACAAGGTTTTTTGAGAAGAGTCAATTCTAGGATGCCCGACTTGGAGTTGGTTCGCACAGTTGCAGCACACTCGGGCCAGTCAAATTGTGTTGCACTAGCAGTGTCGCCTGACGGGCAAAGGGTGGCCGTTGGGGCATCTGACGCCCTTTGTTCTATATGGAACATTGAAGAGATGATTTGTGAGCGAAATCTTGGAAGGTACTAAGTTCAAACTGTCAGTCTTTGCCTTGTCGCTTTTGAATGCTATATTTCGAAAAAGAAGACTCAAGATACCTAAATTAAAAATGCTGTTAGAGTTAGGGTTCCAATATGAGGTATCGGAGTGTATTTAAATTGGTATTTAAGAAATTCAACTATTTTAGGTTAGACTACCCTGTCAGAGCAGTAGCGTTCAGCTGTGATAGCCAGTTGATAGCAACCGGAAGTGAAGATCATTCCATAGACCTTGCTTATGTCAATGATGGGTCCAGGTAATTTATTTCTTCTCGCAGAAAACAATGATCGGAGTAATACAGCCAGGTTGACCTCGACAACTTTTTAGTTTCCTTTGCGCTTCCTTTCCTTTTCTGTAGAAAAACTGGTTTTCGAAATCATGAAAAAGGCAGCATTTTGTAACGAGAGCAGAGCTCCGGTTGTGGTGATTGTTACCGTAAAAAATTTTCAGAGTACACGAGATTCGATTGGATGGAGAAACATATTCGTTAGCATGGCATCCGTCACAATTGATGCTTGCTCTTGCATCTTCAGGCGATCCACGCGAACGTGAAAGTTTCGGGGTGCGATTGTTCGGGTACACCAGCTAAGCGATGGTGTGATAACGTGTTTCTGGTCTCACATCGTTAAACAATAAACGTCATTCTTTCGTTGGCATTCCCGTTCTTTCAGTTTCGGAGCATGCTAATTTAAATAATTATTCATGATGTTAAATTGCACAGTGGAAAGGATCGTCATGAGTGCTCTCCGAGGAATTGACCTGCTCTCTAAGCGCACAGCATTGAGTCAACCCTTAAAAAATGTGTAAGGTGAGAAAACACGCGGAACTATCCCGAGAGGTAAGACCAGAGTGCGATTTGAATGCTAAGAGGATAGGTCATTTTCTTTCTCTCCATTAATACTTTACCTCATGAAATCTCCTTATCACACTGCTCCTCTGGGAATATTATTTCCGACATCTTTGTAGATGTTAAGCTGTCTTAATAAAGGCATTACATCGTTTCTTGTATTTGTTAGGTTAAATAATTCGTTAATAAATCATTTAGTAATCGCATAGCGGAATTGAAAGTAAGTAGACATCATGAGATAGATTCCATGAAACATCACCTGCGCGATTTCCATCTTCTCTTTACATTAAATCGGTATTATTTCTTATGCCAGATTTTTTGATTAACTGGAATGTTGAACAAAAAATTACACTGCAGCCTATTGAAGCCAACATTTGTAAGCAGCCGACAGCGACACTTAAATTTGAACATTTCTCCTGCCTAGTATCAAGCATGCGCCGCAGCAGAGTTCGTTTTATTAGGTTGAGTCCTAAGTCCTCGGACAATAAGATAGTGATGACTTATAGAGATCATAACTCGGCAAAGAGGTGACGAAAAGGACGCGCGATGCATGTCAGATAGAGTATAAAAAGCTCTTCAAAATACATACTAACCGAATTTTCCTTACCGTTTCCTGCGTTTGAGCGTGAGGAGAGAAAGTGCCATGTCGGCGCGAAAATCCATGTCATACTGCTTCAAAGCATGAGGCACCCATCAATTGAGCTTTCCCACCTTGCTGATTTACTTCAATTCACGAATTACTGTGAACTGAATCCCCAAGATGACTGCCAGTTCACGAGTAGTTTGACTCAGATCGGCTTCCACGGTCTTCATTTTCGATGGAATGGTCGTCCGACATGAACTTCGAGTGCCACTTGTAAATTGTGCATTTAGCAGGAGCAACCTTCTTGTAAACATCCTTCATACGTCTATCGATCTCCGCCGGTTCTCGACCAGATAAAAAAAGAAAAAGGATGGTGTTGCGGAGGTGGGGTTGAGACGGCTTGAAATCATGGGGCATGGTTGCAGGAAAGGAAACGATTAGGTGTCTTCGTTAGTATGCATTTCGAAGAGCTTTTCATACTCTATCTAACAATGCCACGTGGGTTCATTTTCGTCTCTTCCTTCCCAAGTTATGATCTCTAGAAGTCATCACTATCACTTTGTCCGAGGACTTATTACTCAGCCTACTGTATGTATGTTGGACATCGTCTCCTATTCCTCTTAAAGCATATCTTACAAAATTCTAGCTTGAGCGAGGTAAGTATTCGGCCAAATGCTTTTTCGGCGGTGAGTTTTTCCTTCGTGAAGTAAGTCGCGGGAATTGTGATACGTCGGCAGAAGTATATTTCACACTATTCAACACTATTGGTCTGCAAAGCAGCAACATCCACGCACTAAGGGGAAGGTGTTTGTTGTAAAAGTAAACTTCGCTGTTTGCGCATTTTTCTCTTTTACTGTGTTTGACATTAGCGCTCGTACACTTTGGACATGGCAAAAAGAAAGGAAATCCTAAAAGTTCCAGTGAGTTACGACTGAAAATAAATACAAAGGAAGAAGCATTCGGCCGAATACTTTCGAGCGCTATTTTTAGTATCTTAGTTCGACTCTCACCGTTTAGCAATATGATCACCGTTATTATCTACGAAATTCGTCCAACGAGAAGGACGTGACGAGTGACGGTGTGCTAGCCCACTTCCCGTAACTTCCACTGCGCTGTCTTTGCGACGTGAGGCCGAGTCTTATAATCTAAAGGATGGACGGAAATCTACATTGACCGCTTTCTTCTTTCTTTTCTTTTCTCCGTTCCTGGAGGAGACTGCTTGAAATGGTAGCCGTGACTATCTAGCTTTGAGAGAGCATGTCAAGGTATGGCATTCCCTTTGAGTCTTGAGAGCAGCACAGCAAAGTAGTGTGGTGCTCTCAAGTGCTAGTTAGTCTGCACGAGGGATCTTCCCTTGTTGGATTACAGACAGCAGCTCTATTGTTGTCAAAGAAGCGCTCAGTTCCTTTTACCTGATCCAGCAGAAGCTCTTTCCGATTGGGGTGAGGAGGATGGCTGGTCGAAACACACGTGTCGGAGGTCGTCGGAAGGTAAGAAGTCAGCCATCATCGAAGGCAACTTTTCGTCGGCATCGAGGATCGTCATCGGCGAACGAGGATCGTCATCGTCGAATGTCGCACCTCCAGAATGAAAACGAGCGCATAAACAGCTGAGGGTCGCGTGGCTGGCAGGTTCTGTAAGCACCTAGTACTGATGTTGTAGCTAGCGGATCGAGCGCTGAAGTCCCATCGCCTTTTGTAAGGGACGATTGTTCAAGCTGACTCTCGGCAAATGCCGTTATGGTTTACACGCTTGAGTTCTATTCGAATATATTCAATAGTAACCCTCAGATTCTTCTTGTTAGTTCTAGTTCTCCGAGGGCAGCAAGTGTTCCTATAGAGAAACGGTTATACATATTAATTTGTGTCCCAAGGCTTTCGCATCGAACATATAAAATTGTTGAAGCTTCGACTTCCATTCTGAATAGTAGCGACGCGTTGAATGCCTACACCGTACTTTGCCGTGGTTAGCCGATTTTCACGCCGCTGCTTTTGTTTCGCCAGATGAGCCTGCTAAAAATCAATCAAACTCGCGAGAAATGGACGGATATCGATCCAGTCCTCGATCCCCGGATCATGCGTGCATCAGGGCTCCACTTGCCACCCCGCTACCTTTTCTGTGTGAATAACGTAGGAGAAGTGGTGGTTTCATGTTTCTGTTCCTGATTGATTGCAAGCATGAACAATTTCAGAAGATGAGTAGTAATATTATACAGGAGTATCGCAGTGCAGTATTGGTTCGAAGGCGATACGGCATAGGGCTACATCACCACTTTGATTTCTGTCAACTCAATTGTCAATTTGTGTGAATGCGTCAGTGTTGTCAAACATGTTCCGTAGGAACTTAAAACACTTCTTCGAAACAGTTACAGCCTTTGCGAGCATCTTCAAGGTAAATGAATCGCACTTCTGCAACTTCACTTTTGTCAGAAATCTGCTGTCAGAAATGTTCGTGATGACGAAAGGATCAATCTTTCCGTATGTGAGCCATGGCACTTTATGTTATTAGTTAAACTGCTATACTATATCGTTTGTGTCATCAGAGACAGTTGTTTATGTCGAAGATGTAAAAAGTTAGAGCTTTGTCTTTTGAAACTCTAGTTTTTGCGACTAGAATTTTTAAAGCATGCATTAAAGCTGAAGGTTACCTTGAAGCAGAAGGACCAAAGGGATCAGGGTTACCAGGGCGATCACGTAGTTTATTCTCTTATTGGGTTGCGATAGCATTTAAAATCAACTCCAAGGCAGATTGCAGGGCGTGCTGGCTGGTCTAGTGAATCTCAGTAAACTGAAAGCTTCCTTTTGTTCATGTGACAGTCCGAAATGCTATGAAGTATTGTTGGTTTCATAGTTCTTTGACGAGAAGTTCAAGTCTTCTTGATTGTTCAGCAACTTAAATTGCGGAATGCGGCTATTTTGCTGGAAACTGACTCATTGACTCTGTTAAAACCCCATGTGTAGTTCGAGTTGCCAAATCTTGGACAACGTTTATGCTGTCGATCAAGAAGAATCGAGCTTCGTATTTTCCTCAGTGTTCAGCTTCTCGAAATGCTCATAAACTTATTTTTAAACATCATCGAGCACTGGTTGATTTTTCGAAAATGCCCAAAGTGATGGCTGAAGGATTAGCCTACGATATTCAACACAAATCTGCTTTCGGAAATTAATTTGATCTCGTAACCTTTACAAATGTCCTCTTTTTGTGTTTGTTCTTGTGCCTCTTTGAGAAAAGTATAAATGTGATTCAACACAATAAAAACATTTGTTAAGGTTTGAAAACAATATTTTCACCGAGACCACTCGAAAAAAAAATTATGAGTGCAAAACATAACGAAAATCTCTCAACTNACTTTATCTGATGGGTAGAAAGGATCTGGAGGGTAAGTGAGATTCGCGAGCTGTCAAAGATTTTCAAAAAACTATCACTTAGACCTAGGGAGCCCTCTCACAATATTCTTTAGTGTTCTGTCTAGTCTTTAAAGAATTTTGAAGTCATTTCAGTCCCTAACATCGAAAAAGTTTGGACGTTAATTTGGGACACAAAGGATTAAGCGATGATAAGCTCTCATGAGATCTATGTAGCATCATATATCAGCGAGAAACTATACGCTACGCTGCAGATCCTGACACCTCTGAAAACAAGAATATCGTCTAAAATTGATAGTCCCCAATGAGATATCTCAGCGGAGGCTTTATTATGCTGACAGGAATCATTTCTAGCTATTCTCTTCAGCACTCTATTAGCATATTGGTCTTTGGTTTCTCATATTTCTTCCTCAATGAAAGAAATGGTTTTTCATGTTTCCTCCAGAGTAAGAGAAACGCCCTAGCGGTGTTCACCCTTCTTTTGCCGACGGTCAACAGCTATCGTTTGCAACATTTACATTAGACTTCTGTGTGAAGTTTTTTAGAAATGTTATGGCGTCCTTACATCAGTTTGTTTACTTCGCACTTGTTTACCTCGCTAAATAACATGGTCTTGAGCATTTTTCCACATTTGTGAGTAAGTGATGAGTGGGTTGGAAAAAGTCACCTATCTTCCGCACAACCGCCTACATTGATCCTTCCAAATTTCTCTTTCTTTATCAAAGCTTCTGCAGTGAAATAAATAAGCTGTTCCCCTTCGTCAAGCTGTGATGTGTTTTGGTTTCAACTCCGTCTACCACGGTTTCAACCTCGCCTACCAGCGGCATTAGGGTTCGCTTCCTTTGTCAGCCTATCACTCCTGTTCATTCTCTTGTCGGAGGACGGAGTAGAGCGTGAATCCTCAACTTGTCCTCCGTGCACATGATGCACCTAGGCGCATGATGCTTTTACTTTGAAGGTGCTAGTCTGTTTGTCTTGTGCGTGCTGCTTGCATGGAGTCCAAGTCCTAGAGGCTTAGGTCGAAATAGAACTGATTGAATGGTCGAGATAGGCAATGACTAAGATATTCTCTGGTTTCCTTCACTATTCCTTCGATGATCTCAAATGCTCCCCACACCTTTCGGTTCTTTGTGTTCAGCTCTAGAGCCAGGTCGTTCTTCATTTTGACTTCTCGATCTGGTTACACGTAAATAGAGCATTCAGGGATTTTTGAAACATTGGGTGTAAAAGGAATCAGTCCGTGTCCCATGAACGATTTTGTTGGTAAACGCAGTTACAAGCCCACAGCCTGTCTTCCCGCAAACTTTAGCAATCGTTCCGTCTTCCCGATACCCAGTTTTATAAGCACAATGTCGTCTGCGAAGCTGAGGTGATTTAAATGTCTGCCGTCGACCTTCATTGGCTGCTTTCATAGTCCGCCGGCCAGCCGGCGTGCCGGCGGAGGCACTGCTAGGGGGGAGGAGGGAGGCAGACAGTGTAAGGCAAACAGTCCACGCCCCTTTGAAGGTTGTTTGTTTTCAACCCCTCGAAGGGGCGTGGACTGTTTGCCTATCTATCTGCCTCCCTCCTCCCCGCTAGCACTGCCTCCACGCCGGCACGCCGGCACGCCGGCCGGCCGGCTGGCGGACTATGAAGCAGCCATTCTTGTGCCTTTCTATTCCAAATAACACATGATGCTTCGAAAACTATGGGAAAATCATGCATAGAGGAAAATAACCATGTACTCAAGCAGAGCACCCTTTGTGGATAGTAGGATGTGCACGGAAATAGGCGATACCAAGAGCAAACTTCCCAAATATTATTCCAGAGCAGCTCAAAAATTAAGAAAAAGGATGTAGTGGTTATGGGACCCATTAACAGAGGTATAGGCAATGGGGTCTACAGTACTGTCATCGATTCAATTCAAGGACATGTATAGACCAGACGAATTATCGGAAGTCAGGGATGTCTAAAATGTATCAAGCATGCTTGCACTAAACGGAGCCGCGCTTGCGAAGCAAATGAGGTTTCGTCTGGAAGGTGCTCAGCAAAGAATTGGAAGAATCCTTGAACTTTTACAGTCAAGGTTCTGTTCAGAGGCTTATGGGGTTCGAATTATGTGGATACAGGTCAAAACAGGAAGGGAGTTTGGATACCCAAAATAGATGAATGTGAACTGCGGCAAGGTCGAAATCAAATTACATAAATGTTTAGGAATGCTCTAAAGCCTGCTGTAGAGCTGAAGGAAGAGTACCGCTGTGACGAAATTTACAACATTGGTAAAAGCGGGTACGGGTCGAGACATGTATGCTTCCCATTCAAGGAACACCAGGAAAGCCAAGTTGCTCTAGGCGCATTTCGGTATAGGATTTGATTCAGAACCAAGCATGTCAGACCAACACTGGATACCACACATGCACCGCCCACAATCACCATGCTTTCGATGTGCATAAAAATCTTGTCCTCCAATCTATCGCTAGGTCTTATGAAACATTTGAGGATTCAGCTGGAGACTCAGGCTTAGGCAATTGGGTTCAGTATTCGACCAATTCATCGTTATCAAAGGCCTGAAAGCGCTTCAGAACTTTGGAGTGTTGCCTTCACGCTGACGGAGACCTACTTTTAAAGGAACAGTTCTCAATAATTTTGAGGTCCCCCTTTTTATTCAAAAAGCGGAAGTATTGGTTGGAAATAGTTCATTGGTAGTGAGGAAGGCGAGAGAATTCGCTGATTTCGAAAAAAAAAATGGAAAAATGTAGGGAAAATAGAGGTTGGGCGAGATTACGATGACGGAAATGGCATGGAAGCGGTATTTGGGCGAGATTCCAGTTGTTGCAATTGCGCAAGTAGCTGACTACATCAAGCCGGAACTGTGCAGAACTGCCTTCCACCTCGCTACGGGTAATGACAAGCTCTTTGAAATTCCTACATGGATTCCTTTGTACCGATGCAGCCTCTACAATGCCGGTGAAACCCGTCCGAGGATGCCACAGTGCAATCTTTAAGCCTTTATAACGCCCTAATTAGGCTGTTTTTCGACCTAATAGCGCGACATACGCCATGTGAGGGAACTTCAGATTCATTCCAATTCAATCTCAGAAACCGTTGAACTGCGCCTTTAATTAGTTGCAACTGAGACCGATGAACTTCCATATGGAAAATTTCCAGCAAGTGACTCTAGCCAGCCCCACCAACATCGAATAGTTGCTCAACTTTAAAGACAATAGATTAGATGAGGCCCCCTAGTCAACCACTATCTATGAAGTGACACGTATCAGTCCTCACTATCAAAGTACCCACAGAGCAATGTATGGTAAGAGGTCACAGTTATGTTGACGCACTCATTCTTGTTATTCATAGTCTTTGGCTAGATCCGCTCTTTCCACTCACCTACTGCATAACGACGCTGAATCAATTTGATATAGATGGTAAATCAAATCGATTTCCTTCTAAACCAGTCTATGTTGTGCAGCCATCCGCAAGCCCACCAGTGGGCCTGCAGAAGGCTGCACTCGAACGCATAGAGCCAACCTCGTTCAAGGGTTGTGCCGGTGCAAACTTCCTCTTTGGCACCGAGAAAACCAACCTGCTTCGCTAGACCTTAGGTTGCTTGACTTCTCCGTTTGGTATGTAATTGAACTTAATCGGAGAGAAACTGCCGAGTTCTCCATTCGAGCCTAAGGTCCTGACAGAATATATCTGAGTAGTGGGAGTCACGAGGCAACCAATGTTCGACTATCTTGAATAAGAAATCACCTGAGAATCTATCATAGTAGACCTTTCGTGTGCTATTGCTGCTCGAGATTTCAGCACAGTAACATACAGCGACTGACCTTACGAGCGTTCGGCTTCACATTTGTTTTTAGCATTAACAGTCTGTACGAAATGATTCGGAAGCTGAAATTTGATCTGTTTTCACGTTCTTGATCACATCATCACGCCTTTTCTGCCTTTTCGACCACTCTTTACTGGCAGGAGTTATTAATTCTCATTACAGATGCAGGCACTAATCGGTCAGATGCGCTCAATTTTCCGGGACGATCAAGTTAACATTGAAGACATGGAGAAAACTTTGTTGTCGTATAAAAGTGATCCACAAGACTGGTCTCGCTACGCTCTATTCGACGAACGAAAGTTGGTGATGGTTTCCTCGAAGGAAATTTTCTACTGAGCATTTATCAGTCAATCATATCAATTTGGTGAGATGAGCTGAAAAAGGATGAAGGATAAAGCCTCGCGGATGATCATTTCCGTTTCGGGGTGTTCGGAAATTCAGAATCGGTGTTTATAAATGCGTCTTTATCGCATACAACGAATTGCAGTGGTCAGCTCAAGTGCAAGTTACCGCTTTTAATACGAGTTTGGTACCAAATACCTGGTTCCGGATGAACGGAGGGCTCAGTTGGCGTGGGCGAGTACCTATCTGGGTTTGAACCTAGGGCTATGCATGTATGGTAGTGCGCCACTTGTCATTGTCCCACTTCCTCTTTTTTTAAATGAGCGGAGAGATGATGTGATCTGATAAACGCTCAACGACTTTGATGCTCAACGACTAAAGTTGGACTGGATTTCTTATAATTGAATAGATTTTTCAAACAATGAGTAGATTTTCGGGAATGGAGCTTTATTATTATAATCAGACCGGAAAACGGAACTTCTCCCCAGATTCCCACGACCTGCAGCAGTGTTCCCGCGGCACGATCGCGTGCTACAAACGCGACACACCGTTAGGGGAGAAGGTGCCACACTGCAGATGTTATTGTTACTATTGTATTCTGCTTCCTTTATGTTATTTAGGGTAGAGGATCAACTCACGTTTGCTATTTTTCAGTTAAGCCGCCATCGTTCAAAATTGGCACCTAGAAAGTTAATTGATTTAGAGAAGAATTAGTGATTTTATACCGAACTGATCAAGTTGAAAAGTAGACGCGATGGTCAACTTCTTGTTAATTATAAGAATAGGGTTAAATCTACATTTCGCTGAATACCTTCAATGGAAGCGGTGCCCTTTAATTTGTCGGGCACTTCTCACGCGCCCTGAGAAACACCGATATGGTCCTTTCAGGTCCTCTAGACTTCTGGGGCCGTAAGGTATGCTCCCCCGAACAGGGGAGGGTCCTCTTCCCAAGTGGTACTTTGCTCTCCAAGCAACACTTTAGGCACTTTACCTAATTCTGCCTAAAGGCG